TGAGACTTTGGGCAAGCCTTTGACCTCTTTTACCTTAATTTTTCTTAATACTCTCATGAGGTGACTATAATAACTACTCAGAGTATAATATATAGCTCATTAATGTATATTGTAGCCCATGAGAGATTGCTACTAAACACAAATAAGTATTTATAAGATATATATAAAATATAAAGACTGTCTATAAAATGAACCCTATAGTCAACATCAAACTTGAGAAATGGAATATTAACAGTGTATTAAAACCTCTCATCTTCCCCATCCTATTTCTCTGTTTACTCATTTCCCCATAGGAAATTAAGCACTGAAACTTGCTTGTGTTTACCATTATCATGTGTTTTTTTCTTGACTTTTTTTGCCATATATTTATACTCCTAGATATACAATTATGCTTGCTACTGAGTTATATAAATGGAACCATCCTGCAGGAATTTTTCTGTGACATTGATCCATGATGATACATGTAGTTGTAATTCATACATTTTTACTGTGGCATAGAATTCCATTATAATTTATCCATTCTCCTATTAATGAACTCTTTGTTCCTAGATTTCTGTTCTTATAAACATTGCTGCTATTGACTATTCTTGTATAAATTTCTAAGAGCACATGTTAAGAGTTTCTCTAGGATATATATGTAGGTGTGGAACTGCTGAGACAAGTTATATATACACTAGAGGCCCAGTGCACGAAATTCATGCATCGGTAGGGTCCCTGGGCCTGGCCAGTGATCAGGGCCAATCGGGGCCTTCCTTCCCCTGGCTGCCAGCTGCTGGCTGGGGCCTTCCTTCATTCCACGCCGCCCTCTGGTGGTCAGCACACATCATAACGAGCTGTTGAACTTCCGGTTGCTTGAACTCCCGAGGGAACAATTTGCATATTAGCCTTTTATTATATAGGATTGTCAACTTTACTAGATAATGTATCCCTATGCTCATTACAGTGTTATTTACAATAGCCAAAATATGCAAGCAACCTAAGTGCCCATCAATAGACAAATGGATAATGAAGATGTGGTACATATATACAATGGAATATTACTTGGTCATACAAAGAATGAAATCTTACCATTTGCAACAACATGGATAGATCTAGAAGGTATTACACTAAAGTGAAAAATATCAGACAGAGTAAGTCAAATGCCATATGATTTCTCTTATATGTGGAATCTAAATAACAAAACAAGAAAGCAAACAAATAAAAACAGAAACAGACTCATAGATACAGAGAACAAGCTGATATCTCCAGATGGGAAAGGGACTTTGGGGGCTGGGTGAAAATGGTTAAGGAATTAAAAAGTACAAATTGATAATTACAAAATAGTCATGGGTATATAGTCAATAATACTGTAATAACTATGTATAGTTCCAGGTGGGTACTAGAGTTATTGGGGGGATCACTTTGTAAATTATATAAATAATTATCCACTATGTTGTACAATTGAAATAAATGTAAAATAATATTGAATGTGAACTGGGATTGAAAAATAAAAAAAGAACTAAAATAAAATACTTTAATCACAGTTTAATTCCAAGTGGGGCTCTAGTCCATTTTAGGACTATTTATGTCTACTTCACCCTTACTCATACAGTGTGAACCTCCAGAGACCTAACAAATGTGGATGTTTTACCCGGCCTACACGGTCTTCATCCTAGGTAGGCCATGAACTCTTAACTTTTCTCTCACTGGAACTGTTATTCTATTGAAAGCTGTAATGACCTTCTCTGCCCACTCTGTTGACTGGCAAACAGCTGCTTATTTAAGAATTCACAGATGCTTCTGGGAAAATGCAGCCCTAAAAGCTGAGCTCATTTCTCTTGGTTACCATCTTCTCCTAGATATTTGCCCTTAATTTAAACTTCCTTGATCAGTCTCTAATGTTCTCAAATCAATTCAAAACAAATTTAAACGCACACATGTACACACACACCATACACACAGGGCCATGCATGCATATATCCAGTGTTTTTAGTTTTTCTCACAAGGAGGTTTGACCCTAATTATCTAGCCGACTGTTATTGGAAGTAGGTTTCTATAATTTTCTTTACTTTTTGCACATGTCATCCTAGAATATGAAGTACTGCTGTGTGGACACTATATCCTATATATCCAGAACCTAATAGGCTGCCTGTCACACAATAAACAACTACTAGGCTAAAAAAAATAACATGTGAAAGTCTCGACAAATAATTAGAAGGTGTGATTTCATGGTGAGAAAAGGACAGAATCAGTCCGGCTGGCGTGGCTCAGTGGTTGAGCTTCAAACTATGAACTAGGAGGTCACGGTTTGAGTCCTGGTCAAGGTACATGCCTGGGTTGCAGGCTCGATCCCCAGTAGGGGCGATGCAGGAGGCAGCCAATCAATGGTTCTCATCATTGCTGTTTCTATCTCTCTCTCTCTCCCTTCCTCTCTGATATCAATAAGAATATATATATATATATATTTTTAAAAGAATAGAATCAGATATCATTTTAAGATTTCTAAACGTGGCTAATGGTCATACTGTTCTCAGAAATGAAAAATGTCAAGACAGTGGAAAAGCCCAGCTGGTGTGGCTCAGTGGTTGAACATTGACCTAGAAACCAGGAGATCAGGGTTGGATTCTGGGTCAGAGCACATGCCCGGGTTGTGGGCTCGATCCCCAGTGTGGGGCATGCAGGAGGCAGCCAATCAATGATTCTCTATTATCATTGATGTCTCTCTCTCTCTCTCTCCCTCTCCCTTCCTCTCTGAAATCAATAAAAACATTTAAAAAAAAGAAAGTGGAAAAGAGGAATAGAATTGGTTGGAAGTTGACTTTGGTTTTTGCACATGGCTGAATCTGATGTATTCATGAGGTACTTAAGAGAAGTTGTTGAGATAAAATTGAGGAATGTAGATTTGAAGTTCTCAAAAGAGGTGGAGCTGGATACAGGATTCAAGGTATTTGTTGTGAGGGTAATTACTGAGAGGAAATATAAAGAGATAAGAGATGGAGGCTTTGTACAAAACATTAGAGAATACCTAGATATACTTAGGGGATGATTAAGGAGAAAGACCCTTAAAGAAAATAGATAAATGTTTAGAGTAGGCAAAGAAACTTAGAGGAATGCAGCTTAATGGAAGATAATGAGAAAGAGAGTTTGGAGAAAAGCAATTATCATGGCCAAATGTGGGTGAAATCAATGAAGCTCTGGGATGAAAGTCATCCTAACAAATACCACCCATCTTTTGATTAGTAAAGGAAAGCAGGAATGTGGAAGGTTGAAGAGATTTAAATTTTTAAGTAAGAATAAGGTTTAGAAAAGAATGTAGATGATTTTAACTGGTCATTAATAAACAAATTAGTGAACAGATTTGAGGTCTTAAAAGAAAGCAGATAATCAATATTTGAGTGGACATGATTTGCAAAACTTTGAGACATTTTTCAACAAGGTTTGCATCATGGGGTGGGGTCAAGAGACAGAGCTAGTTCTCAGGAAAACAAGAAATTCGCTTATAGACATTTTAAAGATTGGTAAATCCTATATAATAAAACCCTGATATGCAAATCGACCAAACGGCAGAATGACCGGTCGCTATGATGCACACTGACCACCAGGGGGCAGGCACTCAATGCAGGAGCTGCCCCCTGGTGGTCAGTGTGCTTCCACAGGGGGAGCGCCACTCAGCCAGAAACTGGGTTCACAGCTGGCGAGCGCAGCTGCAGTGGCTGAAGCCTCTCTCACCTCCACTGCAGGCAGACAGTAAGGAGTGAGGAGTCCTGGACTGCAAGAGTCCCTGACTGTGAGAGGGATGTCTGAGTGCCCTAAGCCGGCAGGTGGACATAGCCTGAGGGGTCCTGGACTGCAAGAGGGCACAGGCCGGGCTGAGGGACACCCCCCACTAGTGCACGAATCTCGTGCACTGGGCCTCTAGTAGATGGAAAAGAGAATGGAGATTAGGATACAGATTTGGGAGTTATCTACATAGAAAAGACAGTTGAAACCAACAGTATATGCAGATATTTGTGTCGTAAAGTCTTTCAGTAAAAAATGATTTCCTTTCACAGAGAAATAATAGCTAATCTAAAGTAGCTTCTATCTTCATTAATATGTGTAAATTAGTTTTTGAGAACCTGAAAGTTTCCTTATCGTAATTTGAAGAATAATCCTATTAAAATCAGTTGGCTATAAAAATCCTAAAATTATAATTAAAAAGAAGACATTCATAAAACTTGCTAGGATTACAAATGTATTCTTGAGTACAGCAGTTATTACATCAATATTATGGAAAAATTCTCCAACCCCTTGCTTTTGCATAAGCAAGGCATTATTTGGGGAAATCAGAAACAGTAACAAAAGCATATGTAGGGCTACAGTTCTACCAGTAGATACACGAATGGCCAAAATGTTTATAATCAACATCTGTTCTAACTGGCTAAGTGGTTAATGCAGTATTAGTTGTGTAACATCTTATTTTTTTATTTTTTTAAATATATTTTATTGATTTTTTATAGAGAGGAAGGGAGAGGGATAGAGTTAGAAAATCAATGAGAGAGAAATATCGATCAGCTGCCTCCTGCACACCCCCTACTGGGGATGTGCCTGCAACCAAGGTACATGCCCTTGACTGGAATCGAACCTGAGACCCTTCAGTCTGCAGGCCAATGCTCTATCCACTGAGCCAAACCAGTTATGGCAGTTGTGTAACATTTTAAATATAACTCCTGCTCCAATAATATATTCACCAAATTACTTATATATAACATTTCAATACTACTAAAATTCTAAAGTACATTTTGCATATATTACTTTATTATTATAACAATCTTTCACAACAAAAAGGAATCATTTGAGCCTTCACTTTAATGATTAACCCAGATACAGTTATTGCATACTTCTTTGTTACTTACTGAAATTATGCTCAAATTAAAAGCTTTTCCTACCAATAAAGTGACCCTGAATAAATTTACCTGCAAACTAAAAGCCACTTCACATACAATACAGCAGTTATTCTTATTAAAATAAAATCCTCATACCATTTGGTGATGCCATAACAATCTTTAATAATATCCTGAAGGACAGCACGATAGAAGAGTGATTCAGTAGGCAGCTGAAAAAAATGTAGACATATATAAACACAAGAAACAAATAACAGAAATCAAATCAATACAAGAGAGTTGGGACCATAAGTGAATGTTAAAAACCTGATGTGAAACCTAAGATACAATTTTTTATAATTTTTCCATTCTAAGTTAAAATGTTACCAAAGAAAAATGAGCTAACATTCCAAATGGAGTGCGTATCAGTTAAATATGTAGAAATAAACTTTCATAATCAGCCAAATCTGTGTAAGACAGCAGTAAGACAGAATATATGTGAAAGAGAATGTGGCTTTGTCCTAATGGTGGTGGTTTAGAGATGATATTATCTAGGATCAACACCCAGAAAGAGATGGTACTACCCTAGGTAAGGTCACATTAAAAATATGTCTGAGGCCTGAATGATCATAGCATTGGCTACTTGTAGGCTTAAAAAAAAGAATCTTGGAATCAACATAGTATCAGAGATTGAAGTCTTGGCAAGGCCTCATTTCCTGGGGAAAAAGAGGTAGGAGGTGTCCATGAAGGTGCAAAGGTTTCCCCAAAGGAAAAAAGGAATGGATGAAGACAAGGGCCCCAATGAAGCATGATAGTTTCACAGAAGGAGGAGGTAAAAGTTTCACAGAAGGAGGAGGTAAAAACAGTATATATAGTTGACGCTTGAAAACATTAGGGTTAGGGGCAATGACCTCCACACAGTCAAAAATCTGTGTATAACTTTTAAGTTTCCCAAAACTTAAGCTATCCCTCAGTAATATGAGGGGGATTGGTTCCAGGACCCCCTGCAGATACCAAAATCTGTGGATGCTTAAGTCCCTTATATAAAATGGCAGAGATCAATGCACATGGTTGGCCCTCCACACCCATGGACTCCCAACCATGGCTAGAAAACAGTACAGGAATTTATTGAAAAAAAAATTCACATAAAAGTGGATCCATAGAGTTCAAACCCATATTGTTCAAGTGTCAACACAGAGAAAGAGTGCACAGAGAAAAGGGTATTTTACAGTAGCAATGCAATAGGTACTTTTAATCCAAGAAACTATGAAATTCATTAAACTCCATTCACATCCCCAAAGATCTGTTAATACTGAGTAGAGAAAAATCAAACTCAAAATAATATCAGCTTCCATGCAAAGTTACTATTAGAAAAAAAGAAAAAGAAGCAAGAATGGAGGGAAGTCAACAATATTAACTGCTTTTGAGAACTCAAATAAGATAAAATCTAAAAACTGTCCAATGACTTGATACAGTTTTAAAGATAAGAGTTCAGTGAAATGTATATATTCACTGAGTTATCCTTTTGTAACTCCTATTTTTCATGAAAGACCAAACATTGTTATTTTCATCTGTTTTGACTGGAATGTTTGGATTAAGATGGAGTTTAGCACAAAATAAATTGCGCCTGTGTGCTCAGGAAGAAAACCTACTTGTTGTCCCTCTCCCCTATCTAATGTGAAGTTCCTACACAGCGGGCCCCAGATGCTGAGACTCAAAACACCACAAATTGAGAGTTGAAGGTCCACCATTATATCTTGGGTCTTCGCCTGATGGTACCACCTTCTTAAGTCATTGAAGAATGTCTTGTAGGATCCTAATAGAGCACTTTGAATGAACATGTGTATCTTTTCTGGATGGTGGGAGTAGTGTGGAGGGTGATTCTAGTAAGAATGGCATTAGGAATACCAGCCCCTGTCTTGATTCTTGCAATAACTCACTAAAAGCAGACATACACACACACTTGAGTGCCCACACAAAAATTTATAACCTTTAAAAGGCACATTTCTTATATAAATTTTTTTTCCAAATGCAACTCCTTGAGACTTCCACTTTCCTTTCCTGAAACATTTCATATTCCAAACATTCATACTTCAAAACATTTTATTCAAAATTTCCAATCTTTGGATATATTTTTAATTTTGAGTAATTTATTTCTGCAGTACCCAAAATTTCTACTTTATCATCTGTGTCTCACTTCTCCTCCCCCTAAATATCCTTCAGTTCTCTCACAAAAATGCTGAAATCACTTTTCATCTATTGACACCTACTCTTATATTGTTCTATTAAAATTCAAGGCATTTTGGGAAATATATTATTACACAAAGTGAAATATTAGTATTACAAGTGGCTTACAAAGTTCTTAATTTGATTAGGTGTAAGAGATGGGGACTTTAATTTTATGTGACTTTTATATAAAACTCCTAAAATAGTTAAAGCTCTCCTTTGCCATGCTTTTGAAAATTATATAAAATTATATCAAGATAACTGAGAAATAAGTGTATATTTACATTGTTATTAAAAATCAATTGTAGAAGAACTATAAGTAAGATCAAGAAATGCATTTTAATAAGAGAACATAAAGAAATGGGACATAGAAAAATACAAACAGGATGGAATAAATCATCATTCCCAAGTCACTCTGAGTAAATAAGAACTTTACAGCTGTTTCGTAAGAGGAAGGGAAGAGAGTAATGAAGTGCCTTCAAATGTGCATTCCTGGAATAACTAGGACTATCCTGGTAAATACAGAAGGGGGTAGGTGGGAAGGGAGTCAACATTGTCAACATTTAAGCAGCCTAGGCCTGACTATTCCAGGAATAAACTGGATGTGGCTCAGATTTTACTTTCTTTCCTTCACAAGTGATAAATCAACTTTACGCTTTAATGCATGTTAAAATGGAAGGGAGCAGAAAGAGTGCACCATTAGAGGGTGTGTGTGTGTGTGTGTGTGTGTGTGTGTGTATGACATGCATTTTACAGGTCTTGTGGAAAAGGTACTAAACTGGAAGTTGGGACTGCAATTAACTAAGGGAGCTGGAATACATTATTAAAATTCTGCTGGGTATCATGTTATGTAAGTTTGGTATAATACCCAACTCATAAGATTGATTGTAAACATGAACAAGTATTTGGGAAATTGAAAAACATCATACAAGTGCTTTGGGGCATTATTATGATAAAGGCACTTTCATCTTCCAGGCTCCTAGGGAACCACTAAGTTGATATGCAGTAGAGGAGTTAAGGGCTTGGGCTTCAAAGTCAGAGATTCAAATCTCAGGGTTCACTACTTAACAGTTTCCTCAAATGTATCACAGGATAATAATAGTACCTATCTCATAATACTATGCATATAGTATGCTTCAGTTGATGAAGAAAACTTTGAATAATGCTTTGTATCCTTTGTGTTAGATTTAAATATTATTTTCATAACCATAATTATTAATTATCCATAAGAGCAACAGCAGTTGACATTTATTGAGCATTTACCATGTGCTATACATTTTTCATTCATTTAATTCTCACAACTCTATGAAGAAGGTATTATTTCTATTCCCATTATTACTGTTATTATTCCTATTTTACAGATAAAAAATTAAGCTACAGAGAAATTATGACATGTGTCCAAGGTCACTAAACAAGTAACTATTGAAGAGAAAAAGTAACTAGTAGTTGAAGATTAAAGCACAAGCCCAAACAATATGCTCTAATGCCTTCAAAAATTCAGTTTTTATCAATTTTTAGATGGTGACATTTAAAACAAAGTTTTTAGTATCGTGCCTGGTCTAGGGTAAGCACTTAGTAAATGATACTTGTTGCTATTATTTTAAGCTTACTATTTAAAAAATTTAAATTGACATATGATTCTTGAAGAGAAGCAAAGAGAGGTTTCTAAAATTTAAGTCCAACAAGAAAAATTTTGTGAAAAGTTTAAAAAGAACTCTTAAAAATAATTTTAAAAATTCCTAGCATGTTTCATGAATTTAAGGTGGAGGATTAGGAAGTTATATGGATATTTTGGTGATACATTTAACTTCCGTATTTGTGTGTAAACCTATTTGGCTGTTGCAATTAATGAATAATCAAGACAATAAAGAAAAAAGTTAAAAACAACTAATTGTAATATGTATTTTGGATTACAGTCAGAAAATAAATTTAATACTATTCCTTGGTTTTCTTGCTTAAACTGAGCCTATTAAAAGCCTGATAGTCAGTGATAGCATTCTTTAGAAATATTTAAAGACTGGTTAGTACATTATGAAGAAATAAGACAATACAAGAGTACAATGTGGAAGTCTTCCTAAAAGTTCAATTTACTTTTTCTGAAAGTTCACTTATGTTTTAATGTAAACTTATAAAAAGAAGTATAAATATAAAATTGAGGAGGTGACAAAAAAGAGGTGATATTTATGAAAATCCATCAGGTTTTAAGTTCATCAGCAGGTCAAGTATGAGGAGCACCTGAGAGAAAACTATCGTGTTCATCAGCTGAATCATATAAACACCAGATAACTTACCCCTTGGCCAACTGCAACCCGCTCCAGTGCCTTTAAGGAGAAAAAAAAAATAAGACTAAGACGGCTGATATATTTAGTCTTATCATATAAGACTTATAAACATACTGTATAAGGGCTTGTAAAAGTGACATTTAAAAAGATTAATTAAGTGATAACATGTATGTTTATACACTTAAAAGTGTTAACATCATTAAGGAATGTTAACTAGTTTACTTATATAATTTAGGGCTGATTTATAATATACGTGTGTCACATACACAAACACACACCCCTACTGTATATAATCCTTGAATTTTAGAAGGCATTAGAAAACAGGAAAGAAATGAAATGACATATTCTTGGCTCACTTTTAGGGTAGCTAAAACAATCAGATAAATCCAGAGCTATTCTTATGCATATACATAGACATTTATATACTACTTTTAAGCTGTTTTCTTCTAATTTTTTGTAAACATAGAATACATCTCTCATTAAAAAAATGAACAGATTATAATTAAACATTTAGTTTAGAAAAGTACATACATTTTTGGTCTGCAAATTCAACTCAAATTCATACATGATCAAGTGCCAAGTAGAAGAGAAAGTTAATACATATTTTTATAATTTTATATGTAGTTGATTTTAAATTTGTATCTTCTTAAGATCCAAAATATTTTTACAAAAATTTCCTAATATTTCTAAAAAATACTCTTAACCCAATATATAAAAGATAAATATGAAAGATTTATTAGAATTTAAATGTGGAATAGAGCCTGCTGAAACTTTCATTTTTTTTTAAAATATATATTTTATTGATTTTTTACAGAAATAATTTAGATTAAAATATTTTAACTGACATTTTAATTAGAAAATATTTCAAATATAAAGAAAAGTACCAAAAACATAATGGATCTGCATATACTTTCTATTCAAATTTAAAATACCCATATTTGCTTCAGATTTCTGTTTTGATAAATAATACTTTTTAGATATAGCTGAATCATCATATAATTATAAAACTGAAGAATAATTTACAAAATATCTTGTTAAGTGCAATTTTCGCAGATGCACAAGGTCACTGACGAGGTAAAGTAACATAGCTAGTTAGCAGCTGAGCGGGGACATAAAACTTGCTCTGTGAACTCTAATTTACTTCTCATACTTCATACCATGTAGATTCACTGGGAAGAAGAGTTCATTGTATGAAAATTTGTTTTACAGAAATTATTTTAGAAAATATGTAATTTTCCCATTGACTTGAAGGGTATCTTCACTGAATATCTAGTGCCAGAGTTTTATGAATACAGGAGATAATTATATAATTTTTCTATTAAAGAGAAAGAGACCCAAAACAGGTTTATTATTGAAGAAAACAATGAGTTTTCATTTATAGTACTTGTACCAATTTCAAATTAGATTTTCATTATGGCTTTTGCTAAAAGGCTGAACTGAATACAAAATAGTTTTTAACAATAAGTTATTTGATGTCAATAAAATATCACATAACACAAGGCTACTTTTGGTATGTGTTGCTGATGAGTTTATTTTAGAAATACAAATTATAAACTTTGATTACATAATAAAAGATAATCACATAGGTAATAAGAAGTGTCTTACAAATATTAATATTTCCCTTGGCCAATAAATAAAGATAATGAAGACAATATAGCAAGTATTCACTTCATACAAAAAATATTTTGCAGTTTTGTTAGGCTTAAAGTATGTTTACAAGATTGCACTAATCTAATTAAAAGTTTATTTCTGGTTAGTGCCCTTAACAATGTATCTGAAGGCATCACCAGAAAGGTATTTAAAAAACAACTACAACATAAAAAAGCCCATTAAGCTTTGAATATTTGTGGAACCGATCAGTTGTAGAGCAAAAGGCAATAAAACAAGATGCACCACAAGAAATATTCCTTATGCTTTCCAGGATGACTCTAACATCAAAAAAAGAAGTCCAGGTGGGCAGGAACTGGAATGAAATTTAGAGAGAGGCCTCCCACGGTCTACAAATTCTATATTTTGGAATTTACTTTTCAAAAATGCTTCTTTTTAGTTCTTTGAATGTTTATGCTTATAGTGTACATTCCTGTTTTGTGGATACATTCTTTTATCTTTCTTTGGGATGTTAGTAACTATTTTCTTTTGGATAGTGTCCATTACCTCCAAGTTGCTTTTTTTTTCTATTTGTTTATTGAATCTTGATTCTTTCTTGTTAGACTTTCTTAGATTTTTAGCCGTCTACTGACAATTCAAATGGGGGTATCACAGACCTGAGTAGAAGCACTGTGCTTATGAGGGAGGACTATTAATTGTGGGCCTCACCATAAAGGTGAAATCGGTCCTGTTTCACTGAGAAATCCCCGATGCCAATATCTTTAGGCCTTTTCTGTTAGAATAGTCAGACTCCCTATATTGAAAGACTATTTCATTTCTTACCTGATGGCATGAGGTAGAATCCTGCCTGCCAGCATTCTTGGAACCAAGTCATTCTAAGAATGACCTGCCATTCTAACAAGACCTTGAACATGTATCATTTACAGATATAAATAGAGAACAAGATAAGGTTGCAAAAAAGAATATTAAGAGGACATATAAAAATAAATTATTATTTGAGCATAAGTAGATTTCTAAAATAATTCTATGATACATGATTTAGAACACTGGTACACATTTTTTTATATTGCAATGTTATTAGCATAGATATAATGGTCTTATAATATTAATTTATCTTGGTGTTGAACATTAAACACATTATTTAATCAACCATATTTTAAATTTCTGATGACAAAAATAATGCACTGTTTGACCTGCAGCTGTTCCTTTGTAAACCATTATAGCACCAAAACCAGAGAAGACCATGGGATAAAGTGTTCTAGGTCTAAGGACATTAGACAAATCAAGCACAATAAAGGTTTTATTTAACTAGATAGTTATTTCATATTCCAGGTAGGTTAATAATATTTTTCCTATTCTATAAAAATTAGGAGACCAAATTATCTTCTATAAACACAAACACACCACAGAGCTGTGGATAGAGCACTGAACTAATTCTCTGTTTAAGACTTGGTTGCCCTGGCTGATGTGGCTCAATTGGTTGGGTATTGTCTGTGCATTGAAAGGTTGTTTGTTCAATTCCTGGTAAAGGCACAAGCCCAGGTTGCAGGCTCGGTCTTCAGTAGGTGCATGCAGGGGGTAGCCAATCAATGTTGCTCTCACATCCAAGTTTCTCTCTCTCCCTCTCACCTTCCTCTCTCTCTAAAAATCAATAAAAAATCTTAAAAAAAAAGACTTGGTAGCTGGTACATTTTATATAACAACTGAAGTAATTATATTTAAAAATTAAGTATCATAATGTAGATTATAGTATAACTATAAACTGTTACCATACTGTATGTAGAATGATAATGTTGGAAGAGAAAGTCCTTTTTCCCATAATTTGAAATGCATCAATGATGATGCTCTGCAAAATGTGGCATTTAATGCATAGTATTAGCCAAAAACAATACATTCTGCAACATCTGGATAAAGTTCTTAGTCCAGAAAAAAATGCAATCATACCAAACATGCTGACATTCTGGCATTGCGACCACACGACCATCTCTCTTCCTTTAAATAGTGGCACATTGGAAATCCCCACTTTTCTTGGGTACATTCTGCAGATGGGGGAAAATATGGATTATTTCAATAAAATTCTTCCTCTTTCAGTTAAAGTAAATAATCTATTGAGAAAGCAAATCAATCACTGAGAGAGTCAAACAGTAGTTCAACATGAAAGTGGTAATGTTTAACAGTTCATTCCAGATTCTTAATTGAAAGCATATTAATGTAATGAAAATGGTATTTTCTCAACAACAGCTGTTGGTGTTTAAGCGCCAACAATTTAAAACCAACCAAAATTATTTCTGTAAGATTTAGCAAAAGCAGTTTAAAATAGAAATACTTTTCATGTTCAGTGTATAGTAGATGATTAATGAGATACTGGACATTTATTGCTGACCTGACTTTCTAGAAAAATGATCTATCAAATATGACATTTGGCAGTTTATTACAGAACAATATTAATTCACTCCTAACAATGTTGAAGTATCATTTTTTTCAGCCACTGTTCACTTTTCAAAAAAAGAACAGCTGTAAAGGCTTTTCTTTTTTCATCATATTAAGAGGCTGAAATATTTTCAACTGTGATTCAATCTGGCTCAATTGCATTTATGGTTCAAGTAACAATAACAAAAATCAACATTCATTGCTTGTCCAACTGATGTAGTTACATATTCAACTTGCTGATGCTTAAACACCTTTTGTAGAACTATTACAAAGTTTTTGAAAAGGAAAACCAATTTCTATTTTAAATTAAAGCCTGAAAAATAAGAGCTTAAATTTTATCAAAACTGTGACAAAAGAAAATTGTGATAAGTGAAATTATTCTATTAGATTAAAAAGTAAAACCGAACTAAAAACTTGAAAACAAGAAAACTCTAAAAGAAAATATGGAGGTAAATTCCATTAAATAAACTTTTGTGCTATGTAGGATCAGATGATTTTAGATTAAAATAGAGAAAGTTTAAATTTCATAGAGATCATAAGCCCCTGAAAATGTTTTCTTTCAGGTAATAACTTAAGATTTATAATAGACCCTACTAATATTCAGATAGAAGATATGGACCTCCCGGGAATGGAAATAATAATGCTACTATTTACATAGCATTTAATATTATTAGCACTATTATAAGTGTTTTAAATGTATTAACTGGTCCCCACAGCAATTCTATGAAGTAGGTATACTCTTATTCTCATGTTTCAGATAGGGAAACTGAGCACAGAAAGGTTAAGTGAATTGCTTGCCTAAACTGCAAATCTAGCACATGGCACAGCTTGAATTTAATTCCAGGAAGTCTGATTTCAGAGGCCATGCTCTTAACCTCCAAGATATATAAACAGCTTCACTTACAGTTACACAGGACTCATGGAGCCCTTGAAACTTATCCAGGTCCTAGGGACCCTGGACCACTTCCTCTGTTTCCAAGATGACTTGAAACAGACGCTTGAGAAGGCTTTATGATTTAACTCAGACAATTATTTCTAAATGAAAGGGCTACTATAAGTAGTTTAATTTTCTTCTTACAAATAGATAGAAACACCTAGATCTTTACTGGAAAGGGTAAAGCGTTACAAAGATGGAGTTCCTCCTCCTCTCCATCCATTCTCTCTTTGTCCCTTGTATTAAGATAGCACTCAATTTTTAGCTGTTCAGATTAGAGACTGCAATTCCCAGACTCAAGTGCAGCCATTAGGATAGCTACAAGACTAAGTTTTGCAGAACTGAATGTGGGCAGAAATGATGTGTGTAAATTCTAGGTCAGATGCTCAAAGGGAGGGGCAAGCCACCTAGGACCATGTAAACAAGAGCAGCACAGGATGGTGCAACAAAATAAAAGGATTCTGGGTTCTTGGAAGACTTTCTGTTACAGAGCTCCGCTCCAATCACCTACTTCTGGATTGAAAAGTAAATATCCCTCTGTCACTGTTACTTTGAGTCTGAACAACTTCACATCTAAATCTTTATCTTAATGTAATGCTTTCCAAACTTTTTATAGCTCAGCACTCTTGGAATATGGCAAAATTTATATGTCAAACTGGAATAATCAGAATATGATGATTATGTTGAAGCAAAACCCAGGGGATGCAGGAAGCCGTGTCTCAGGAACACTCACAAAGTATCCACAGTTGGATAGTTCTGTCCTAATTATGCAGAAGTCTTCTTTGAGGATGTGATATTTGAGCAGAGACTTAACTGAGGAAGCAAACCATGAGATTAAGGGAAGATCTAATGAAAGAAAAAAAACTCAAAGAAACAAACTAGGTTTTAAAAGAATTAGTTAATACCAAAAAACATAATACTAGCTTATCTTATAATTTAAAATGATAATACTAGCAATTTCCTAACTTGTAATATCTCAACCAAGTGCCTAAAAAATGAACTTGTAACACTGGGAAAGAGGAGACTAAAGTTAACTTATTGCACAAATGTGAAGAGAATCCCACTTAAAAAATATACAATGAATTTGTAATGAAAGATATAATTAGTGTACCATCACTGCTCTGCAATTCACCTTATACTGCTAGGAAAAAAGCATGTCTACTTGCCTGAAAAAGGTAGAACAATCCTACCTCAGTAATAATCTAAAGAAAACTTTGAAAAAGATTACTACTTAATATTAGATTGCAAGTGCAACAGTATTTCTAGAAAATTCATTCCATTGAAAGGGGTATATTGTTTCTAGGAAAAAGAATATAAGAAACTCACACCCAAGTTACTCCCAAATTCTTGACCCACAGAAACTGTGAGAAATAAAAATTATGTGGCTTTAAGCCATTTAATTTTGGGGTGATTTCTCAAATAGCATTAGATGATACACAGTGTAGAAGTAGCATTAAGGAAGCTAATTATCTCACACAAGGTATGTGAAACAGAAAAATCCACTGCTTGAGGTGTATGGGAAGTGTGCTTCTTTAGGAAAAAGTTAGGTTTTTTTATTAGAAAGAGAATAAAGGAAATTTCAGAGTAGAGGTTGCAGAATATACGCAATTTTGATAATGACAGACTGAATTCTGAAATTTGAAATTTTGAAATTTGAGGAAAGGTGGAAGACAAGTCACAACAAATGATATAGATACATTTGAGGTACCCCTCTGGATGCTGACTCACATGGACTTTGTCAATTGGTTCCTATACCATCTAGCTGTTGACTGTGTTTGACCAATGGTGAGTCTAGGTCAGGGGTGGGCAAACTTTTTGACTCGAGGGCCACAATGGGTTCTTAAACTGGACCGGAGGGCCAGAACAAAAGCATGGATGGAGTGTTTGTGTGAACTAATATAAATTCAAAGTAAACATCATTACATAAAAGGGTACGGTCTTTTTTTTTTTAGTTTTATTCATTTCAAACTGGCCGGATCTGGCCCGCAGGCCGTAGTTTGCCCACGGCTGGAGGTAGAAGATTGGAGACAGAAAAGACTAAGGTCAGAATATTCATACTTTTGGCTGCCTCTCTGAGAGGCAGCCACCCACTGATTGAAGGTCACCTCTAAAGCCAGCCAATTCTTAAGTCATTCTCCTTTAAGGTTTCAGTTACTTCTTTCTCCCCTTACACAGGCATGGTAAGCTGCCAATTTCTACACTATTTCCCCTCCTCTTCACCCGTATCTTTGTAAATAATCCATTTGTAAACAAAATTCAAATTATTCTAATTGATGTGTACCATCTGCTTGTTTAACTCCCTGATTCCCATTTCTCTTAAAGTAAAAGACTTGTAGTGTCCTACACAGCTCTACACAACCCTCCACCCAAAGCTCTGACCTCTCTTATCTCCTCTCCTCTCCTCTCCTACTGTTCCCTCATCTCCACTCTGGCTTCTTGTTATTCCTCAAACACACCAGATTGTCTTCTTGTATGGAATGATTTTCCCCCAGCTATCCACTTTGTAACTCACTTACCTTTTTCAACTCTTTGCTGAAATCTCACCATTTAATGAGGCTACCTCTGTCTCCCTATTTAATTATTTACTTAAGTTATTTATTGTTTATTGTGTCTAGCCCCCTCCCAACCCACACAATTGCCCTGGTCTCCATTAGAATATAATGTAAGCTCTCTGTACACAGGGATTTTTGTTTCTTTTGTTCACTGGTGCTATCTCAAATTCAATATATATTTTTGAATGAATGAAAGAATGAATGAACTACTATTGTAGAAAAAAGTAAGATACATGCTAAAATAGGTGATAATGAATATAGATGTTTATAAAACAAGTAACTTAACCTCAAGAATTACTTGTCATAGCAAACTAGCAAAACTTATATCCAATATTCTCATGGAAGTTTCACAATTAATTTTTTAACTTTGCCTCCCCACTACCCAAGCTTTTCTTCATTAGCATTGCTATGTTATGTTTTTAGCCTATCCATTAGCACTGCTTCATAGCAGCTTTGATCAACGTGTGTTTTTATTATTTTAACAGGCTACCATACTTACCAGCTTTGTGTCATCTTGGGAAAGTTACTCTCTTTATAACTCAGTTTCCCTATATGCAGAGAAGAAAACTACTGCAACAGTTTTGATATTAAATAAAAATGTAGGTAAGGGTTTAAAACAGTGCTAAGTACATAATAAGTGCTTGAATAATGTTATAATGACTGTGATTCTAAAAAATTAGTATTTACTTCTACTTCTACTTCTGCACTATGAAGTTATTTTTCTACGAGTTTTACATTACCTGGTACTTAGTGGGATAAAAGAAACTGTTTATTTAATTAATAGAGAATGACTAAACTAATACAATCTGTTCTGGCTTTCCACTCTTTAGAATGCCATCTCTGAAGTCAACAAAAATAATCAATCTTGGCCATCATTTTATTTGACCGGTCCATAAATTTCATAGTATTAAAATTCTCTGTTAAAACTTGTTTCTCTTTTGGTTTTGATAACAGGTTCTTCTTTTCAAAGGCCCTTTCTTCTGCCCACTCTTCAAATGTTAGTGTACTCAATATTACATTATGGCAAGTTTTCTGTTTCCACTCTTTAAATTCTTTTCTTGAGCAATTAACATCTACTCCTTTAAATTTAATCTCTACATATCTCCAGTATCTTCTTTCTGAA